CTTAAAAATTGATAGTCCAAAAATGCATTACAAAAAGCACTATTTCCAAAACTTGAAATCCATTTTTTGCTCATGTCCATGCATCTTAAAGTCGAGATAATCAATTTGAAGATTTTTGGGGCATCAAAATGACCTCTTCTAGTGAAAATTTTGAGGTGCGCACTAATTTGATTGTTTAGAGCCTCGCAATTATATAAACTTTTTCCATCATTTTGTGTTGCTCTCACACTCTCAATTGAGTAGTATACATCCCATAGTTTTGTTGAGGGAGCAAATGTACATTTGGCTCTAGCCAGAAGATGGGTCATTTCAATAAAATTTGCTTATTGTTGGCAACTCGCGATCCCTAACATGTGATTTAGTGTTTTCAAGACAGGTCAGTTGGTTGAACTGAATACCAATTGGACCGGTGATGAAATTGAGATCCACCAGACAATGAGACTCAAAAAAGAGAAATGAAGGATAAAATGATTTTAGATCGGTTGACTTAAATCATTTTGAATAGATTAAAAACAAGGGTGTGGTTTCTATATGGTTGCAACCTTAAACAATCCAATGAAGATGCACCTCCAAATTTTATCATAACATGTAATTTTGATAAAAAAATCTTAGGATTATCTTAAAATCTATTTTCAAATCTAATTATAAATTTTAGAACTTCAAAAATGGTTAAAATCAAGTAGATCTACCAATATATGAAAGTTTTGAAAATTGACAGTCTAAATAATGTATTGCAAGATGCACTATTTTTAGGACTCAAAATCTTTTTTTTCTTTTTCATATTCATACATCTTGATGTCGAGATGATTAATTAGAGGGTTTTTCAACATAAAAACAACTTTTTCTAGTGGATTTTTGAGATGCATATCTAATTCTACATTTTAAGGTTGCAATATTATATAAACTTTTTCCTTAAAACAATGATTTTAAATATGTTTTAGAACCCGGAATTGGTTTTAAAATTCAAATGAGCGATTTAAACCATATTTAAAGGAACTACTCAAATCATGTGTTTAAAATGAAGCAATTAATTTGATTTTGAAACAATTGATTTAAATATGGCTTAAATCTTTTCAAAATACATTGGAAAAATAATTTAAACATTTTTAAAAACAAATTGTACAAATAAACTACTTATATCGTATTTAAGGGGTTTTAAATATAAATTTAAACAAGAGATTTTTTAAAGGATTTCAAATCAGATTTTAGTAGATAGGGGCTTGAAAAAACAGGGAAAAAAAACTAGATTCATATTTTCTTTTAAAAACACCCCAAGTTTTAGCAATTGGTTTCAATGAACAGTGATTTCCATCCGAAAATAATAGAAGGGCATAAACAAAATAAAAACTATTTTTTCTTTCTAGGTTTATGATCAACATGGTTGAGATTATCGACCCTTGAACTTTTTGGATCCAACATCTAACTCTAACATGGATTTTGGAGAGGGGACACTTGTAAATGGACCAGCCGGCTTACTCGTCAATAACCATCCCTATTAGTTCTTACGGATAATTCGCTGTTCAATAAAATTTATCTTGATAATGAATTATCTGTTGTTGGACCATGTCCATCACAAAGTTATATGAGATATAATTACATGTAGTTTTACCGGTTGTTTATCTTTTCGAATAGCTGTTTTTACTTTATTTACAATAGTTTGCTAAAAAGTCACATGTTTTAGAGAGAAATAGATAGCAATTGCCAAAAATTAAATGATTAAATAGTATTGTACACAATAACGTGTAGCAAATGACTAACATTAACATTATAAAAAATATATTAATTTTTGATACAATGATCTATTCTATGTAAAAATAAGAGAAATTATGAAATATCCATTTAAATTACCGTTATTAAAAAAATATCCCTAAAACTGTGAATATTATGTTCATACCTATTTTTTATGTTTTTTTTTTTTCTCTAAACATCCAAAGTTCTATTTTGAAGTTCTCTCTAGCCTCCAACAAGCCTTCCGGTTTGCTAGATGCAGAGAAAACTTTGGATTTTTATAATTTAAAGTTATATGAACCTTGAATTTTCAAAATCTGAAGTCCTCTTTAGAAGTTTCTCTGGTCTCTAGTAAACCTATGGGCTTTCTAAATACATAAAAATTATGATTTTTATAATCTAAAGTTTAGGGAACTTTGGATTTTAAAAAACGCAAGCTTTCTACGCTTCCCCTACAGCATAAAACTTATATACTTCCCTTTATCCAATCGTCCATTCTAAATGGAGGGCTAAGATTGCCCTAATTATAATGTCACGTTTCTACACTATTTTATTTTTAATTTTTTTCTATAAACTATTTTGACACCAAATTTTGGACGTCCAATCCTCTATTAAACTCTCCCTAGTGAGAAATATATAAAAAAATATTTTCAATAAAATAAAATGACCAAAATACCCCTAAAAGTTTCAAGGGGTATTTTGGTTATTATATTTTATCGAAAATTTATTTTTAATCCCAATGAAAAGATGGAAAGTACCAAAATTCATATTCATATAATTTGTATAAAAAACTAAAAATAAAATACTTTGAGACGTTGGATCTAAGATCAAAAAGTGAGTGGCTCGCTTGATCAAAATTGGATGGCTAGATGGTAGGGGAAGAATAATTCTTATATCCTTTAGGGGAAGTATAGAAACCTTTCCCTTTTCAAAATTCAAAGTATTTTTTTTAAGGTTTTAAGGGATATTTTGGTCATTATATTTTATGAAAAAATTATTTTTAATATTTTTTATAGGTGCGCCCCAATGAAAAGATGGCATGTACCAAAATTCATATTCATACAATTTGTATAAAAAAAAAACTAAAAATAAAATACTTTGAGACGTTGGATCTAAGATCAAATGGTGAGTGACTCTCTTGATCAAAAATTGGACGGCTAGATGGTAGGGGAAATATAGAAACCTTACCCTTTTCAAAATTCGAAGTGTTTTTTTTGCCTTATAACCACCTAAGAAGAGGTCCAAGTTTTATTACAAATGTTAAACTTCGGACCTTCAGGATATGAAGTAGAGGTAATGTCGTTATTTCAAAAGAAATGCCATAAAATTGGGTATAAATACAATAAAATTAAAATTTTAGCTGGTTTTTAAATGTTGTCGACCTTGAAAAATCAAAGTAATTTTGCACCAGTGTCAACCTTAAAAAACTCAAAGTAAGACACACCTCCAAAATTTATCAAAATGTGGAATTTTGGTATCGAAAATTCCTAGGATGGCTGGAAAATTTATTTTTGCCTCTAGTTATGAAATTTAAAATTTAAAAAATGGGGTACAAAATATTGAAAATGGATTACCTATATAATATATTACAAGATGCATTATTTTTAGGACTTAAAATCTTTGTTTTCCCTATATTCATACTTCTCGAGGTCGGGATGATTAATTAGAGGGTTTTTCAGAGATGGAATAACCTTTAAGATTTTCATGTGTTTATAGATCTACTTGATTTGAACTTTTTTTAGAGTCTAAAATTTGGGAAAGGTTTCTATACTTCCCCTACAGCATAAAATGTATATGCTTCTCCTCCCATCCAGCCATCCAATTTTAATAAAGTGAGCCAATCATCGTTTGATATAGATACGACATCTCAGAGTATTTTATTTTTAGCTTTTTTCAATAAATTGTATAAATATAAAATTTTATACGTGCCATCTTCTCATTAGGCTGCACGTAAAAACAATAAAAATATAATGACCAAATGCCTCTTTAAACTTTAAGGGGTATTTTGATCATTTTATTTTATTAGAATTATATTTTTATAATTTTAACAGTGTGAGTTTATAAGAGGATTGGACGCTCAAAACTTGGTGTCAAAATAATTTGTAGAAAAAAAATTAAAAATAAAATAGCATTTGGACATGACATTGTAATTGGGGCCATCTTAACTCTCCATTCAGAATAGATGGTTGGATCAGGGGAAGTATATAAGTTTTATGCTATAAGTGAAACATAAAAAGCTTCTTCTTAAAATTTTATAATTAGAGAAAAATAGATTTTGATGTCCTCCTAAAAATATTTGGCACCAATAGATAACATTTATATAAGATTAGAATTAAGGTGCAACTCCAATATTCGAAGTTCATGTTGAAAAAAAGGGAAAGTATATAATGAAACCATCTGCCGTTGCTACAAGATGGTCACAATTAATCTTGATTATTGGATGTGAAATTGGGTGGCTGCATTTATTTCATTGACCAAGCTCAAAGTAAAAGAATTTTTCTTGAACTTTGTGATATTTATATATAATCCTTGAAAAAAAAATCTAGTTCATCATCTCGTCATCAAGATGGTTGTAAGTAATTGTGACATCTCTGTACCAAATGTAAATAGTCTTATTATATGTAATCCTTGAAAAAAAAATGTAGTTCATCATCTCGTCATCAAGATGTATATATACAGAGAAAAAAGATATTTTAAGTCATAAAGATAATACATATTACAACACATTATCTAGATAGTCCATTTTTAGGATTTTTATGCATTTAGAGATCTCCTTGATTTGAACTGTTTTTAGAGTTTAAAATTTCATAATAAAAAATAAAAATATATTTTCACACTATCTTAAGAAATTTCAATGCCAAAAATTGTATCTCTCTTAAAAGTTTAAAGATGCCTTTTACTTTGATTGTTTAAGATTGCAACTTTAGGTAAACCACATCCAAGTTGTTTTTATGTCTAAATATCCTCACATTGATCATTTCGACATCAAGATGAATGAATATGAGAGAAAAGAATGGATTTTAAGTTTAAAAATAATGCATATTGTAACGTACTTTTGGACTGTTAATTTTCAAGATTTTCATAGATATGTTTGATCTACAATATTTTTAAAATTTAATTTTTATAATTATGGATAAAAATATATTATAATGCTATTAAAATTTTTTTCAGAAACTCTGCACTATTTGAAAGTGCGCTTTATTTTTGTTGTTTAGAGCCTCGGCTCCATACATACTGCTCCCTATATCTTATTACAAAATTTAGAATTTAGAATTTAGAAGTGCGCCTTGATTTGACCCGAAGCAAGATGATACTTTCTGTGGTGGAAGCCCGAAAATCACGCATAGGCCATGGACTCTCTCTCCTCTCTCCCCCCCTGCGTTTCTTTCCCTTCTTTCTAAATCGTTCCACGAATTTTGGTTCGTGGTGATGCAATCCCTTAGCCATGGCTTTACTGCTTGCACCAACAAATCTTCACGCCAAGGCAAAGAGTCTTTGAGGATTGATAAAGAGGTTGGATATGCAAAAGATGGGGATTTCCTCTCTCTAACCAATTCCCCGACCCCTTCTTCCTCTTCAATCTGTACTGTTGCAGACGATTATATTGAAGTTTGTCTTCAAGGTTTTGGAAACCGGGGGTCTAAAGATATGGGGGAATGCTCTTCTGGGATTTTAGGAGAGGTTAGAGACAAGTCAGGGGTGAAGACAGACAGATTTCTCTCTTTTGAAACTGCCTTGAAGGAGTCTGATGGAAGAGATAATGGTGTCAACCAAGTGGGTTTTTCTTGTAGTGAGATTTCAGAGTTTTGTGATGTTCCTGATCGTTCGAAATCCTCGAAAAGGTAAGGTTCGAGTTTGTGAATGTTTTTCTCTTTTTTGTTCGTTTTTCAATGAGAACCAAATGTTTCTAGCAGACAAGTTCATGACCATGTACATGAGAAGTTCTAAGAGTTTAGTGTGGAAGCTTTTGGGTTTTTAAAGATGCGAAAATAACTGGAAATATTGTGAAAATTTAGGAAAATGTCTTGTAGAGAATTTAGCAATTTATGACACAATGATAGAAGTGAAGGAAATAAATAGAGATTTCATGAGAAGCCACTGTTATTGGAGTTTCTTGCAAGAATAAATCATCTTTCTTTTTTTTCTTTCTTTTCTTTTGCTAAGATCTCTTATATTATCTTTAGAGAAAAGAAATTTCATGTTCAAATTTCAGGTCAGTATTCTTGTTTTAGGTTTCATGTTCAACACTTAGAAAGTCTTCAAAGAAATTCTTAGAATCAAAACTTCCCAAGTAGGATATGGATTTTGTCTTAAATAGATTTCTCACTACTAGTTATCAATTGTATTTTGCGGTTTCAGCAGTACTGTGAGTAGATTATTTTCTGAGTGCATGCGTTCCTTTTGCTAGGAGAACTCGAAAGACTTCCAGGAAGGCTCAGACTTCTTTAAGACGGAGTATTCAAATCATGAATAAAAGAGCCAATCTACGGATTTGGTCAGATAAAGCGGTCGAAAGATGTTCATCATCATCAGGAGATGATCAAGTCCTTGAAGCTCTTGGGTATCCTCTTGGCATGTCAATTGCAGCTGTTTTTTCCAAGGTCATTTTTTAGTGTCTTAACATTTTTCTGATTTGTTGATGTTAGCGTGGTTAACAGATGCTATTGCATGGCTGCATGTATGTGATGGGCTAGGCGGGCTTGCCAGATGTGCCTGTCTAGACAATGCATATTCCTGCACATCACACCATGTGATGCTCCAGCATATGTGGAACCTGGTCATGGTTGGAGATAATGCCCACGAGCACGGTTTGTTTTTTTGGGGGTGGGGGGGGGGATGTATAGGCCCTTCAAAACCTTTTAGAACCAATCTTTCTTTGTTCCAAGTGGATTAACATCTAAATTTCAAAATTGATTCAAATCTAAATCAGGTAATTGCACTTTCTTTGTACTTCTATAAGTTCTATATTTTCTTAAAATGTTTTTATTTTTATTCTCTCCATCAGAACTGATGCTCCCCCAATGAGGCATGTACCAAGTAGGACCTTCCTAGCACCTGGAGTCCGCATCCTCATGTGGGAACCTCTGATGTTCGTGTTTGTGTTTATTTGGATGGTGGGAAGTTTCTATTTTGCTTTGCAATTTTAGGGGTTTAAGATTTAGTATAAGTTATGGTTTGTAATGGCTGTATTAATTCTCTTGCAAGCAATTTGAACTTAAAAAATATGGGATCGTACACAATGATGATGACCTTGTTAATCTGTGTATAAATTGATTGGAAATGAAACTCTAGCTTGTATGACGTTTTGGATGTATCTTCAGGGGAAAAATGTGTTGTAAGACATATGAATTGATATTTGTTGATCTCTTGTGAGAATTCTTGGATGGTGAACAATTGCTTGTCACCATAACTCGGTTAAGTCATATGAATGGGTATTTATTGACTCTTGTGAGAATTCTTGCATGGTGGGCGATCGGTTGTCACGTCTTTCAGTTGGCATGGAAATTGAGAGTCAAGTTTGACTTATATTCAAATTTATGGATGAAGCACCTAAATAGATTGATCAAATGGCCTTTGCATGCATCTATCTGTAGATGTGCACATTCATGCATATGTGTGTGTCTGGCCATATGCATGCACATGCATGTGTAGGTGGGGATGTGTGCAGGTTTTGCCCATGACTGTTGTAATTTTCTTTCTTAATAGCTTGAATTATGTGTTGGGGGGACCTTCCCAAGGTTCATCCATACTTTAGGCATTTTCATGAACTTGATTTTATTATGTTAGCCATCCTATTTCATAATAGCATCCCAATCTGCATTAGGTACTGGGCCATTTCCCAGTTCTCACTCATACAAAAAAAAACAGAAAAAATGCTGAGTGGCGAGGATGGAGTTTCCAGTGGGCAATCCTTCTCTTACTAGTATTGGCTTGAGAATGAACATCTGTGTTAGCCGCCCTATGTTTGCACCAAACGAGATCTGATTCTTGTTTAACAACTCATTTTTGTCACTTATCCACAAAACCTCCTTTTATAATTCCAAGATCTCCATATCAAAGAAATTCTTGCAGCCTGTCTAACACAAAACGTTGAGTGAATAGCTTTCCATGTGAAAGCGACTTGGAGCCGCTTAGAGATATTTAACCGTATTAAGAGATAATTTGGGGATTATTGTAGAGTCCCATCATTTAGAAGGCTCGGTAAATCATGATTCCTGAAAAGTATCCTGCCCTATAGGTGAGGATTACCAAGAGAGTTGCTGTTAAAATGGTCAATTTGCCCGTCCCGTTTGGTGATTTACTTCAAGTTTATAACTTGTCTTAGATGTTGAAGATGGGGGTTCAGTAGGCTATTATCTACCATATTCCTACTAAACTAGCGCTCTTAATGTCTCAAAAAACTTTCTTTGAGCACCCAAGAGATTGTCACTTCTTTGACACTCTCTTTACAATTTGGTGCCAGAACTCCTACTTGCTGGAAGTAAGAATGGGTGTTGGAGCAAAAGCTGCGGATCATCACTTACCTTAAGCTTCCTAGTTTACGAGCACCATGGAGCACCGTTACAAAAGCTTAAGGTAAATAAATAAATATATATATATATATATATATATATATATATATATATATATATATATATATATATATATTAATAAAAGGAATCAACTATTCATAAAAGAATACGATATATGCACAATTTCATTGTCCAAATGAGAAAAATTCAATTAATCACAAAAAATATGACTCTTTTAACTACAAACATGTAAATATATCGTAAAAAAAAAAAAAAAGTAAAAGAAAAGACACATTATTCATAACATAATATGTTGTAGCAAAAGAAAATCAAAATCCTCTCTCAAATTTGATAATACTTTAAAAATATCAAAATCAAATCGATGTCAGTGCAAACCTTGTCTATTGGGTCGCCATAAGTTCTAAAAATCAATTACTAGAAGTTCCAAGTTCACCGACGAACTATTGCCTTTGTTTTGGGAAGAAACCAAAAAAATAAAACATTTATCGATCTTTCGATAATATCATAAAAGAGTGGTTTCTGAGGGGATTTTCTCACCCTAAAGGCAACGGGTTTTATATTGGGGGTTTAGAATACTCTCTAAAACCCTTCCCCCCCCCCCCCTTCCCAAACAAAAATTTATTTACTCAAGAAAAAAAGGGGAAAAAATTACATTTTTTACCCTCACCCGAGGTTTTTTCTGCCCACGCGCAAGTTGTCACAGGGCGGCGCCTAGGCGGGCGCATAATAACTTTGCACAGATTGTGCCTAGGTGTTTTTAAATTTTTTTCGCCTAGGCATTAGGGCAGCCGAATTTTCAACATTGGTACAAATTATGTTGTACTTGTGCTTTGGATTGCCCTTATGAGTCTATGAAGAATGAGTGGTCGATTGTTTCATTGTCCTACAACCAATCAAAGAAACAAAAGCATGGTATGGATAGCCCAAACTAGGTGATCACGAGAAGTGGTTGTCCTGCGCCTTAACATAGGAAAGAATGGCTGACTTAAGGAGATCCCCCTAAAGTATCTCATTTCCAAATTATTACGGATAGCTCAAATCCTTGGGATGAAGTTACTCTCTTATGGAATCTACTCATAAACTTGAACCCTTCTAAAAAAGGACTTTAGACCTTTTGACAAACACTGCATACTCTTTCTATATTACTCCCTTCCCCAAATCCAAACACATGCACTCATCACACTCATTCTTTCTCCGTATAACCCTACTCCATATCATAACACCTCTTTTCTTGCCTGAGTCAATCCTAGTTGTCTAATTAAGCCACTTTAGCCTTCCTAGGTCTTCTGAGTCCTAGTGCGATGCTTCTTAGGCTTACAAACATAAATTTAGGTTAAATTGTGTTCTTGACTATAGCCTATCAGCTCTATCCATTGAAATTTCCTTTGATTTTTTCGTTCTTTTGAGTTAAATTGACAAGAATTTGAAGTAATGATATGAATGTTAGTAGGTTAGTTTTATAAGAGTTAGCTTCCTACAAATTTCTATAATTAGCTCTCCAAGGTACCAATCTCCTCTTATAGAATTCTCCCATTGGACCTTAGACACTTGTTTGCCTTGCCTGTACACATGGAAGTGCTAAGTTAACTCTTAGTTGGTGACTCTATGATGCACTTTTAACTCACACCACCTATGTCGTATGTCAATTCTCATTTCTCTGATTGGATAGCCATAAAAAAAAGATTCTTAAGGTGGTCTGCATGAAATCAGAGGATTATTATTCTCTGGTTTTTGCCTGAGATAGAGGAGCTTCAAAGGTAACGGATAGCCATAAAAAAAGACCTTAGCCTTCAAAGGAGGCTAAGGTCTATGGGAATAGGGCGGCTTTTTCTGTCCATTTCCTTTAGTAGTTAAGATGGCCCAGCTTGGTCTGCCTCACTATTCAAAGGTAATGGACTTTCTTGACCCCGTTTATTATGAAAACTGGCAAAATTTGTGCAGCTCTGTAAAAGAATTTGTTTTTCACTTGTTTCTGAATAACCGGTTTCTTTGTTCAAGATGTTTTGTTGTCCAAACAATGCTTAAAGCTTCATTATTTTCTCAACATATAAAGGCATGAGAAACTGCTTGTCCTCTGTGGATCATGATAATATCGGTCGTGTTATCGATATATCACTAATTGCTTTCATATTCAGAACGAGTAAAAAGGATCTCCTTGTCTTAAGCCAATAAAATCCAAAAGAGTCCTTTTAGAGGCCCAATAATCATAACCTAGAAACATGGGAAAGACCTCCCCAACCTCTCATCACATGCCTCTCATCTAACCTGTTCAACCTACCTTACATTTCAAGAAGTCTTAGTCTGTATACTCATAGGCCTTCCCCTTGAATCGGCTTTGTGTACAATAAAGAGCTGGCATTCTCATGTGCACTTTGACAGACTTGACTGGGGAGCATTTTTATCAACCATCCTATGGTGAAAAAACCCCGCTTATAAGTATATGTAGCATGCTGAACTATATGCTAGAAATGTAATGATACACTTTCCAATACGCTGTAAGTATCACGGTTTCATGAAAAACTGATGCAGTATCCAAATTCTATCTCCTCCTAATAGATGTACCTTGTCAGAATTAATACTTTGTGGTGCAAGGCATGTCTGATGGGCTGTGGTCCAATGCCTTCCTTTGTCTTATAGCCAATTTGAGTTAGAATTTTCATATGCTTACATTTTTAAATAGGTCTGAAATCTTGGGTATCTTATCATCCTTTAGGGGTGTAAATCACTCGGGTTGGGTCCAGGATGGCCTCAACCTAGAGCTAGATCACACTGGGTCCAAGATCCCCTACCCGGACCTCACCCGTGCTGAGACAGAGGACTCAGACCCAACACAATGACCCATCCTCTCTCTCTCTCTCTCTCTCTCTCTCTCTCTCTCTCTCTCTCTCTCTCTCGTCGTCGTC